TCCGGTTCTCATTTGGTTGTTCAACTTCTCTTGTGTGTATGTGTTTTCTCTAGTCTCACTCTGATCTTCTCAAGTTCACGCTCTTAATAGTGTTCCGGTTCTCAGTTGGGTGTTCAACTTATAATGTGTTTGTACTTTCGTCACTCTCACTCTCATCTTCTCAAAGTTCATGCTCTTAGTAGTGTTCCGGTTCTCATTTGGCTGTTTAACTTCTCATATGTATGTGCTTTCTCCACTCTCACGCTCATCTTGTCAAGTTCATGCTCTTGGTACTGTTCCGGTTCTCATTGAGTTGTTCAACTTCTCTTGTGTATTCGCTTCCTCAACTCTCGCTCTCATCTTGTCAAGTTCATGCTCTTAGTAGTGTTGCGGTTCTCATTGAGTTGTTCAACTTCTCATATGTATGTGTTGTCTCAACGCTCACTCTCATCTTGTCAAGTTCATGTTCTTGGTAGTGTTCCGGTTCTCATTTGGCTGATGAACTTTTGATGTGTATGTGCTTTCTCTACTCTCACTCTCATTTTGTCAACTTAATGCTCTTCGTAGAGTTCTGGTTCTTATTTGGCTATTCAACTTCTTTTGTGTATGTGCTTTCTCTACTCTCATTCTTATCTTGTCAAGTTCATGTTGTTGGTAGTGTTCGGGTTCTCATTTCCTGATCAACTTCTCATAGGTATGTGCTTTCTCTACTCTCACTCTTATCTTGTGAAGTATATGCTCTTGGTAGTGATCCGGTTCTCATTTGGTTGTATAACTTCTCATGTGTTTGTACTTTCGCCACTCTCACTCTCATCTTGTTAAAGTTTATGCTCTTGGTAGTGTCCCGCTTCTGATTTGGCTGTTTAACGTCTGATATGTATGTGCTTTCTTTACTCTCTCTCTCATCTTATCAAGTTCATGCTTTTGGTAATGTTCCGGTTCTCATTTGATTGTTCAACTTCTCTTGTGTATGCGCTTTCTCTACTCTCACTCTCATCTTGTCAAGTTCATGCTCTTAGTTGTGTTTCAGTTCTCATTTGGCTATTCAACTTCTCATATGTATGTGCTTTCCCTACTTTCACTCTCATCTTGCCAAGTTCATGCTCTTGGTAGTGTTCCGGTTCTCATTTCGTTATTCAACTTCTCTTGTGTATGGGCTTTCTCTACTCTCACTCTAATCTCGTGAAGTTCATGGTTTTAGCAGTGTTCCGGTTCTCAGATGGCTGTTCAACTTATCATGTGTATGTGCTTTCTCTACTCTCACTATCATCTTGTCAAGTTCATGGTCTTGGTAATGTTCCGGTCTCATTTGGTTGTTCAACTTCTCTTGTGTCTTTGTGCTTTCTTTACTCTCACTCTCATCTTGTTAAGTTCATGCACATAGTAGTGTTCCGGTTCTTAGTTGGTTGTTCAACTTATCATGTGTTTATACTTTCGTCAGTCTCACTCTTATCTTGTCAAAGTTCATGCTCTTGGTAGTGTTTCGGTTCTCATTTGGTTGTTCAACTTCTCATATGTGTATGCTTTCTCCACTCTCACTCTTATCTTGTCAAGGTCATGCTCTTGGTAGTGTTCCGGTTCTCATTTAGCTGTTCAACTTCTCTTGTGTAGGTGCTTTCTCTACTCTCACTCTCATCTTATCAAGTCCATGGTTTTGGTAGTGTTCCGGTTCTTATTTGGCTGTTCAACTTATCTTGTGTATGTCCTTTCTCTACTCTCACTTTCATCTTGTCAAGTTCATGCTCTTAGTAGTGTTCCGCTTCTCAGTTGGCCGTTCAACTTCTCATGTGTTTGTACTTTCACCACTCTCACTCTCATCTTGTCAAAGTTCATGCTCTTGGTAGTGTCCCGGTTCTCATTTGGTTGTTCAGCTTCTCATATGTATGTGCTTTGTTTACTCTTGCTCTCATCTTATCAAGTTCATGCTCTTGGTGGTGTTCCGATTTTCATTTGGTTGTTCAACTTCTCTTGTGTATGCGCTTTCCCTACTCTCACTCTCATCTTGTCAAGTTCATGCTCTTGGTAGTGTTCCGGTTCTCATTTGGTTGTTCAACTTTTCTTGTGTATGTGCTTTCTCTACTC